CCGGTGTGAGTTTTAAGCCACCGGGTCCGGGACGCGAACCATGGTCGACTACGTGGGAGTCCAGTGACATAGCCATTACGCTAACTGCTGGTTCCCGGTCCCTCCATTTTTCACATTATTTTATTAATTCATCAAACAAATATTTATAAGTACATATTTATCATATAAAATTGTATTCAGCTATAAAAAAAAAGATGAACATTTGACAAAAAGTGGGCAAACAAAGAAGATATATTGCTAAGCAAAGCAAGCCAGACCATGAAAGAGAGGTACAATATTTCCCCACTTAATACATACTGAATGACAGTCAGCAGATGGTGTGGTGGTTAAGGCATTAGACACTCTCACTGGCCTACTTTCAATGGCTGACCACTGTTTGAGTCCCATACCTAGTGGCTAAATTTTTCACTTTCCCTCTCTCTCTCTCTCTGTGCCTCTCTCTGGTCAAATTAAAATTAAAAAATGAATAATAATAAATAAAGTTAAATGAAGTAATTCTTTAAAAAATATTATAAAGGGGACCAGCAGTTAACGTAATGGCTATGTTACTGGATTCCAATGTAGCTGACCCTGGTTCGAATCCTAGATACTTCAGATAGTGTGGAAAATGGGGGAGAGTGAGAGGGATGGAATGAAGGAGAAAAGGTAAGAAACAAAACATTTAAGGTACACAAAAATGAAAATTATCTGTTGATGATAATGTGTAAGGTAATATCTTTGAGTGGACTAATATATAGTTAGTTTATTCATGCTGTGAACATTCATTTTATGTACTTTAATGATATACAGTGATTAAATGTAAAAAATAATAAAGTTTAAAAAGGAAGGATATATATACTAAGATTTCAGAAAATAAGTTCTATCCTCTATAAATCTTTTTCATTATTATCATATTTAAAATTAAATTTCTATAAGATGCTTTGTGTTCCATTAATAAAGAAAAATTAATTTCAAAAGAAAAATACTGAAGCAAAAAATACCTAAATTTTAAATTTTGGTGAACTAGTAAAATAGTCAAAATGTGTTTATCTCTAAAATTACTACAACATAAAGAAATTCAAAGTGTCTGCAAATAACTTAGTTAATCTTTGAAATATTTTCTCCAAAGAACCCTTTATAACATCAGAAATTTATTTTAATAATAAATATATAGTAGCATGTGTTACAGCATTAGCTATTTATATGCATGTTATGATAAATTATTAAAGCTCTACAAAGTTTATAAAATGTCAGGTGAACCTTATGCAACCAGATCTTGAATAGTTGATAATCTGTAAAAATGTTATCAATAAAACAATTATATCTACATCGATATCTATATATATCTCTATATATATTCATTTTTTGTACTTTAATGATATACAGTGATTAAATGTAAAAAGTAATAAAGTTTAAAAAGAAAGGATATATATAGATATCTATATATATAAATATCTATATATATATAGATATCTATATGGATGTAGATATAATCTAGATATAGATAGATTATATCTATATATACCAACAGGCAACAAACCATATCTATATAGATATATAGATAGATATAGATATAGATGTAGATATAATCTATAGATATAATATATATATTCCAGGTACCTAGAACACAAAAATACCTAAAATTTGCACAGCACAGGAAATTGTGGGTATTTTTAAATTACTTTTATATTATTCACAATTGCTAAGACATGGTGCCAACCCAAATGTTCACAAACAGATGAATGGTTTGAAAAATTGTGGCACATATACTCCATGGGATACTATTTAGCCATTAAAAAAAAAAAAACAAGCTGGCATTTGATAGAAAATGGACAAACATGGAAGATCTATTGCTGAGTGAAGCAAGTTGGGCTATGAAATAGAGACACTGTACATCTCTACTTAACATATAGCAATTGTCTACACTCTATAGTAGAAACAGAAAGACTGGAGGACATAAAAGCATTAAAAATTATTATGGACACTGGGGGCAAAGTGTAAGGAGAGTGGGAGAGGGAAGTGCAGGAAGGAAAATTTGGGAAAATATAGAGAAGACATTTGTGTTACACAGATATGGTTTGTTGCCTATTGGTATAGTAATATCAACTCATCTACCATGTGGCATATATCATGTTGGGTAAAAACTTTTTATGAACTAAATGATATATAATGACAGAATGTATAAAAATAAAAAATAATACTAATGAAAAAATAAATAAGTGAAACAAATAAATAAATAAATAAATTACTTTTATAATAACAATACCCTACCTTTCATTATTTCATATTTTTTCAAATATATGACAGCTCAAGAGATTGTATTTTTACTACTTATTTATTTCTCTTTCCTATTTATTTCAATTTTATGCATCCACATCTTTTATTTTAGAAAAAATATATAATAAGATATATAAAAATTATATAATTTAATGATTTATATAAATGGTTTAAATACTATTTTGTGAGTTCTTTCCACCATTTTTCTGGCTACTTTTTTCTATGCAGACCTTATATCAAATAAATGAAGGCCCAACCAGTGCTATGGTGGTTAAGGTGGCTGGATCTCACATGCCCAACTACATGGTTTGAGTCCTGACCCTGTGACTTCAAAGATACATGGAGCACATGTGCCTATGTGGCACATATACTCTATGGAATACTACTCAGCCATAAAAAACAACAAGACCCTGGTGTTTGACAAAAAATGGATAAATATGGAAGATTAATTCCTGAGCGAAGCAAGCCAGGCTATGAAGAAGAGAAAATTTTTTATATCTCCACTTGATATATGCCAAGTGTCTGCACTCTGTAGCCAAAACTGAATGACTAAAGATTACAGAAACATAATAAATGGCTGTGAAACCAGATACAGTGTGGGAAGAGGGTGGCTGAAAGAGTAGAGTCTGAGGAAGGACATTATGGAGAAAAATAGAGGCATGGCATTTATGGTACAAAGAAATATATTTTTATCTATTGTATATAACTTTATAGTATTGTCAAGTGGACTGGTGAAAAATGTACACATGTTGGAATATTCATTTTGTAAGCTAAGTAACATTAGATTGAATGTATAAAAGAAATTGAAATAAGAAGAAATATTTAAAAAAAAAAAAAGAGGGACCAGTGGTTAGCATAATGGCTATGTCGCTGAACACCCATGTAGCCAACTGCGGTTCAAGTCCCAGACCCGGTG